TGAAGAAGGGTGTAAAAGAAGTTTGGACGGAAGTGTCCTAGACACTCCCGAAACCAATGGTTTGACAAAGCCACCAGGGAATCCTTGAGTCAAAGTCTGCTGACAAAGGAATCCTGTGTCTTAGAAATGGGTTCGCCTTATTATTTCTGCCACACTCAATCATTGGTGGTAATCTAAAACCAAGCATGGACTCGGTGCATGCAGTGAAGGATTTCAAAGCAATGCACCTGGGGTCCTGGTCAATTACCTTCCGGTTAGATCTGAGGTGCCAACGTCATGGCCGCTACTGTAAAGTAGGTTCTATTATCACTGCGATGTTGAATGCGTTAGTTTATGTACCGTCCCTAGAACACCATCACACACATTTCAAGCATTAACTATGGTTAATTAACTACTGTTGAGGAGTGACAAGGAGACGCCTGCAAGGGTCTGTGATTAGCCACAGGAATTATGCTCTAAACTTTAGGATCTATTTATTTCTACTTGAAGCATGATTCCAACAGGTTTAGTTAACTGGAGTACATAACAAAGCCAGGTTAGAAATGACAGTGTACAAAGAGATTGGAAGCTCATTATTATTAGAACAATCAGAAAGCTGGGAAAGGTGTATCTGACAGCAGGGAAAGAGAAAAACAACAAAAGGCAAACACAACGAAAGCATATATTTTCATGATTTTCAGCATCAGGAAACTTAGCCCCAGCAACTTCAATAGGCATGGGTGCTTGGTGGTATTTCAAAAATGTAACAACCAATGTTCATGATAATGACTCTGATATCAAAAAACGTTTCACCGGCACTTTGAGGAGTCAGGAAAAGTATGAAATGCATTTTCCAATGATTTCCATCCAGAATAGTTAAAACCGTAGAGAAGCTCCACAGAAAGAGTAAATCCTCCAGGATTCTGGACAGCTGATAGTTTTATCGATCTGATTAAATATACGGCTTTTTTTGTTTTCCTGTGCATAACTGCATATCATTTCTTACTATCACTTGATAACGAACAATCCTTCTTCTCATTTTACAACCTGATTTTATATCGAGATCCCCACCCTTTATGTGGCATCCGTCATCACCGCCTAGGTTCACTTGCTCGCTAAGCAAACATAAAATCTCTACGATAAATCGCGAACACCAGCAGAACTCCCGAGTGATTTAAATTAAACTCCTGAGGTGGGCTTGGCTGTCCCGAGGCTGTCGCGGAGAGGCCACTCCGATGGCGCATGCGCAGATTGCCTGGCTGACCACAGCCCCTGCCTCATTTTGACAGCCCTTCTTGTTTCTACCCAGCGCTCCTTTTCCCACGTTCCTGTTCTCACCCAGGAACCACCGACACGCAGTGCTTCCACAAACACTGAGCTAACAACAAAATCTCTGGCCTGGGATAGGTCACCAGCTACTTGGAAGAATAACTGAGAAACCCTGACAACAGCTCTTCTAACCTCCCACCAGGACTGCCAGAGTCTGAGAAGCTGCCTTCTAGAACCACAGACCTCCGCTGTGAACGAGACGGCTTTTAGCGGGCACAATGGGATAGCAGCCGCTGCACGAAGAGCAAAAGATGTAGGATGGCGGAGAGAAGGAGCTGAGACACACACACATAGGCAGAGACACACAGACCACATGCCAACATGCACACAGTTCGGGTCTGGGTCACTTCGGGCTGTTGTAACAAAAATACCGTAGACTGGGTGGTTTAAAGCACTCCGAAATTTATTTCTCACAGTTCTTTAAGCGAAGAAATCCACGATCAAGGCTCAGGCTGGTTCCCTGTCTGGTGAGAGCCCACTTACTGGTTCATAGACAGCCAGTCTTCTATGTCCTCACATGGAGGAAGACACTCTGGGATCTCTTTATAAGGGCACTAAGCCCATTCATGAAGGTTCTGCCCTCATGACCTAATCACCTCCCAAAGACCTCCAAATACTATCAAATACTGTCCCGCGGGAGCGGGGGGGGGGGGGGGGGTTCGATTTCAACATATGAATTTGGGAAAGCTCATTTAGAATGGAGTCAGGAGGCCAGCAGGGGGCGCTCTCACACCCTACCACTCCTAGTCAATTGCAGACCCACCCGGAAGAGACTGGATCTTGCCTGTAGATACTTTACTAGCCCAGCAGCAGGAAAAGAAGCGCCCCATCCCCACTCCGCAGCAGTCCAGCCCATGAGATACCATCACAATTCAGACAATGAAAAGCCATTATACTTCAAACTCCCAGTTTACTCCAACCGACTTTTTATTTATAAAAGTCTTCCCAATCTCACCCTTTCCTCTGTACAGGAGTGTTCCTCTCCTTTGTTCTGCAGACATGCCTATGGTTCTGCCATAGCTTGCTTGTCCAAAATTGCAATTCTCTATTATTTCCAAATAGTCCCATTTTTGCTGGTAAAAATAACTGGCAGTTTTATTTTTAAGGTTAACAGGGGGGACACAAGCATTCAGCTTACAGCCTATCTAGAACATAGTTCAACGTTAAGAACAAAAGCAGAATCTGTCTCATTTTCCCACTGATTTGTAATCTCCTTGGGGGCAGAACTGTTGTTTGTTTGCATCTACACTAAGTAAAATTTATGAGGAGGGAGACACTGTCATGCTAAGCAGGCAGTACGTCATTCATGCTTGATAACAAAGAACATGTCCTTCCTATGCTTACGAGTCTCTTATTAAGAGTTTGTCTCCCTCTCTGGTTTCATCTTGTTTTATTCTTCCCAGGTTTTGTTTTTGTTTTTTTTTTTTTTTTACTAACCAGAATCATGCTGTATGTATTGTTCTTCGATGTGCTTGTTGGAGATGTTCTCAGCCTAGCACACTCCTTTTATCCATTCTATATTCCACAGAAATAGATGTTTGGGTTGCTTCATTCTGCTGTTATAATTATTCCCACTTTTGTGCACAAACTTGAGCACAGGGGGTGGAATTTGAGGGAAAGAGTGTCAATTTGAGCCCTTGGCAATCTGAGGTGAAGGCGTGTTGACCTGGCATTGAGCAGGTAGCAGGCCGTGCATGCTGACTCGGGCAGGAGGGCAGCTGGACTGTGAATTTGGGACTCACAGGCCGATGGCATAGTGTGTGACAGGGATGTGGCTGGTTTTGCTTTTAATTTTTGTTTTTCTGGGAAACTCGATCTCTCCCTCTATTCTAAATGAAAGCCTTGCTGGATAGAGTATTCTTGGCTGTAGATTTTTTCCTTTTAGCAGCTGGAATTTATCATGCCACTTTCTTCTGGTCTGCAGAGTTTCTGCTGAAAAACCCATTGATAGGCGTATGGGGTTTCCCTTGTATGTACCTGCTTTCCTTTCTCTTGCTGCTTTTAAAATTCTCTCTTTATCACTACTTTTGGCCATCTTATTTACTTTGTGTCTCGGCACAGACCTCTTTGGGCTGGTTGTGTTGGGGGCTCTCTATGCCTCCTGGATCTGGATTTCTCTTTCCTTCCCCAGATTCAGGAAGTTTTCAGCTATTATTTCTTCAGACAAATCTGCCCCTTTTCTTGCTCTTCTCCTTCTGGGATCCCTATCATGCGACTGTTATGCTTGACAGTGTTGCTGAGTTCCCTGGGTCTATTCTCATTTTGCATATTCCCCCCTCCCTCATCTGCTTGGCTTGATTACTTTCCATGACTCTGTCCTCCAGGTGGCTGATCCTTTCTTCTACTTCCTCTTACTTGCTATTTATTCCAGATGGGTTGCTGGAGGGGAGTTGAGGGAGGGGGATGGGGTAACTGGGTGGTGGGCATGAAGGAGGGCATGTAATGGAATGAGCACTGGGTGTTGTATGCAACTGATGAATCACTGAACTCTACCTCTGAAACTAATAATACACTACATGTTAATTAATTGAACTTAAATTTTAAAAAAAGGAAACCCCCCAAACAAAAAACAACAAAAAAACAAAAAAACAAAGAACATGTCCTAAAAGAAATCTGCTCCCAACATTATTACTAGAACCAAAATAGCTGTTAATTTACCACAGGTTTCATTTTCCCCAGTTCCTGGCTATTACCTCCTTTTAAGTCATCTGCTGTTTTGGTTTGTTGTTGTTTTGTTTTTGGTTTTGTTTTGATTTGGAAAAGGGCTCAAAGAGCTGTGCTAGATTCCATATGTCCCAATGGACAGCCAGTTGTTTTAATTGTATTGAATTATCACTTCTTTCTCATCTATTCTCACACACAGCCTTCTAAAGTCATCTATTTTTCAATGAGCAGCATTTCCCCTTTCCCTTTCATTCTAGATGGCATCAGCCCATTTTGAAATATACAGGTAAAAAAATAACTGAAAGGCACAAGGAAAATTAGGCAGGAAGAATTTGAGCCTGCTAGGTCAGATTATTACTTTTTTGGCTTATTTTTTTCTATTCCCAGTTTTTTCCCCCTCATCTTTGTATTTTTACAAGTCTTGAAAATTAAATGTGCAGCAACTCCTCAGGAATGAGTAAATTCAAGACAATAGTTGAGTGACAATCTTTAGGAACTAAAATTTATCTGAATTTAAAACTAAATTGTTTTGTTTAGTAAGTAAATTGGTCAGATATGAAAAAGTATTCCAGCATTCCAGCTTCTGAGTACAAACAACATGTTGGCGAATTTGTATTGATTTTACCTGCCAATCTAGATGCAATCACACTTTTTAAAGCAGATTCCTGTAATTTGGTTTTCTATAAAATGTCACCAACGCATTAAATACTTTGAAAACAGTCTTTGCAAATCAATCTGCACTTATTAGATTTATTTAAACGATAGCATTAGAATTCCATGCCGAGATTTAATTTAGTGTTAAAATAACTCCCTACATGAGGAACATTTCCAAGGGCGGAGAGGCTAGTTCCCAATTACTTTCATGCCGTCAGTGCTAAATGTGTTTAATGACTCACTTACCTACAAGCTGTGGGTTCTCTGAAGAGCTCCCTGTTCAGTGAGATGCACACATTTTACCTCAAGCTATTTCAAATTTTCAAAAAGGGGACAATGCAGAACCATAGCCAAATAAAAAGTAAAGATCTTACCTTGTTCATGTCAAAGGTATTGATCTTGATCAACATGTTGATTGGCCTTTGAATTCAGACCCTGCAGACCCAAGAGTGTCTTAAATTCATGCAGTGTTTGCAGGTCGGATGGATATTCCCTCATAAATTTTCTGTCCCATACAGAGTCCTCTTTAGCAGGAACTGCTGTCTGACCACCAGCTATGGATTCGCTATTTCCCATCGTGACTCACAGTCTCCAGCTTTTTCTCATGTAAGGTTCCTACCGATTTAGTTCCTCACTCTTCACTAAAACTGGAGGCTAACATATGTCTTTAGAGAGTTACTCTAAACCTCTTACAGTTATAGGCTAAATAAGAATAGAAAGCCAGTGAGATTAACTCATCTGTACAGTTTTAAGACTAGGTCATTTATCGCTAACTGATGGGATTGCACTTACTGCCATTCAGAGATACAGTTTTCTGTGAAGGGCAGAGGCAATATTTTAAGCAAGTAATCTTTGCCATATTGTCAGTCTAAATTATGCCTACATTGTGGAGTGGGGTCTCATGGAAGGAACTCTGAGTTGCAATCAGGAAGCCTGGGCTCAAGGTTTTGTTTACACTTACTGCAGTGAAACATTACAGGCTCAGCGTTCCCATCTGTAAAATAATAAGAATAATATTTGCCTTTTCATACATAAATATTGTGAAGATAAATTCAGATGAAAAAAAAAATCTTAAACCACAGAAAAATTATACATTCTGAGTGAAATTAAAATGTAAAGGAGGTCTACGTCCAGAAGAGGGAAATGGGTAGGAATAACCATATTAGTAGTAGTAAAAACACTGTAGGTGCGGTAGGCAGAAAAGTGCAGGCTGCAGATAAAAGGACACATTAAGCTGTGTCTTCAGGCATTGTTCTTATCTTTTTTTTTTTTTTTTTGCTGTTCCTGCCTTTTACCCATGCCCTTTGCCTGCTCGTTTTGTCCCACTCCAGTTCCCAAGCTGATCTTGTCTGAGTCAAGCCCCAATTGCAAAGGACTTGAAAATTGAGTGAATGAGCCTAAGAACTCTATCCATGGTCCAGTAATGGAACTGAATTGTCCTGTGTGGTCCTCAAGCCAATCTTGCTGCCAACTGTACATAGAAATAACAGACTTCCATTATATCCACCTGGGGGTCCTCTGGTCCCAAGCCTGGTTCTCCTCTCCTAACCTTACTCCATTTTTCCCCCAGTTCTCATATTGACTCAGTTCCTAAGTCTGGTTTCTGCCTTAGTCCCTATTCCTTAGTCCTAACTGATTACCTATTTTAAACCCAAGGTTCCCCAAGAACTGGAGCCTTTGGGGCCTAAATGAAGTGCCTTGACAGGAGGTGGGGGTAGTTAGGGTATATAGGATTGATTTTGTTTCAAACATACCAATGTAGACTTTAAAACAGAAAAATTTTGATTCTACAATGACAGTTGAATAACAGGTATTCAATAAGGTTATAGAAATGTGGAACTCATTCATTTGGAATGGGTATTTACTCCAAAGATATAAATGTAGTGATCCAAAGGGGTACGTGCACCCTGATGTTTATTACTTGAAACCATTAGAGTAGATGAGATTCTTCATGCAGAGGACAAAGAAAGAAGATGAGCTGATGAGGATTCAGTCCTGATAGGAAATATAAGGAATATCCTGTTAGGATCTTCAAAGACCATTCTCTGGGGAAGTTCCTGTGCAGATTCTTTCTAAATGTCTGCCAGAAGGATGTTCAGAGGCATTGACTTCTTATCACCATTAACATTTATTAATCACCAATTTTTAGATTAAGAAAAGAATGGCTGGTGATGATGGCAGAGAAAGATAAAGTTTTCAAGGAGCCAAGGAAATCTCTTGTGGAAGGAAGATTTTTGGATAAATCAAGAATACGAGGACCTGAGGTCCAGAAACTGTATTTCTTCATATAAATGATGCTTCTTTAAAATGATTATTTGCTGATAGAGAAAAATATTTAAAACTATTACAAATAGTTTAAGGATTCTTATACTGGATACAATATTGATATCCAAACTCAGAAAAGTATATAAAACATTAACCTGCTATAAGATAATGGGAAAAAGACTTCATTTTTAAAAGGTCAAAGAATATATCTAAATTACAATAAATTTAACCAGAACGTGCTGGATATATATGAAGAAAAAATTTAAATGCTAATACAGGGCACCCATAAAAACCTGAACATACAGAAAACCATATTTTGGTCCCGGTAGAAAGACTTGATATTTAAAAAAGGCAATTCTACCTTAATCTATTACACCACCACCCACCAAACAAAATGCAAATAAAGTTTGAGGGGTGGGTGTTGACTAAAAATGCTAATTCTAAGTCTGGATAAGAATAAAACATGCAAAGATACAAAAGAAAATTCTGAAATATAAAATTATTGACTACCCCTACCAAAACTGTAACATGGGTCCAACATGAGAAAAGTTGGAACAATCAATGAAAAATAATAGGAAATTTTTTTTTAACTTGGCCCAAAATGCAAATATGAATTTAACATGCCATAAAGATAGCATTGCAGATCAGTGGAGAATAGATTGGTTATTCAATGAATAGTTTGGGGACAATATTCTATCTATCTGGAAACACAGATTTTTAGCTTACTCCCTTCACGAACATAAATTCTAGATGAATCAAAGATTTAACAATTTAATGATGAAAGTCATTATAGCAAAGTAAAATTTCCTTATACTTTTAACATTAGAATGTCCTTTCTAAATATGACTCAAAACCAGAAAATGAAATTAACCCCCTCAATTTTTTAATCCCATATGGCTCGAAACACTATAAAATTTTTTTCAATAAAAAATTAGGAGATGCCTTCTTGGGAAAAATGTCTGTTCATATCTTCTGCCCCTCAAAAAGTTGAAAATAGAGCTACCATATGACCCAGCCATTGCACTACTGGGTATTTACCCCAAAGATACAAATGTAGGGATCCGAAGGGGTACGTGCACCCCAATGTTTATAGCAGCAATGTCCACCATAGCCAAACCATGGAAAGAGCCAAGATGTCCATCGAGAGATGAATGGATAAAGAAGATGTGGTATATATATATAATGGAATATTACGCAGCCATCTAAAAGAATGAAATCTTGCCATTTGAAATGACATGGATGAAACTGGAGGGTATTATGCTGAGCGAAATAAGTCAATCACAGAGAAAGACAAGTATCATATGATCTCACTGATATGAGGAATTCTTAATCTCAGGAAACAAACTGAGGGTGGCTGGAGTGGTGGGGGGTGGGAGAGATGGGGGGCTGGGTGATAGACATTGGGGAGGGTATGTGCTATGGTGAGTGCTGTGAATTGTGTAAGACTGTTGAATCACAGACCTGTATCTCTGAAACAAATAATACATTATATGTTAAAAAAAAGAAGATAGTAGGAAGGGTAAAATGAAGGGGGGGAAATTGGAGGGGGAGACGAACCATGAGAGACTATGGATTCTGAGAAACAAACAGGGTTTTAGAGGGGAGGGGGTGGGGGGATGGGTTAGCCTGGTGATGGGTATTAAGGGGGGCACGTACTGAATGGAGCACTGGGTGTTATACGCAAACAATGAATCATGGAACACTACATCAAAAACTAATGATGTAATATATGGTGATTAACATAATAAAATTTAAAAAAAATTAGGAGAAAATAGCCGTAACAGATATAATATAAAAAAGATAATTTCCCTAACATAAAAATAGTTCCTATAAATCAGTAAGAAAATACTTACCACCGGGTCATCTGGGTGGCTCAGTCGTTAAGCGTCTGCCTTCAGCTCAGGTCATGATCCCAGGGTCCTGGGATCAAGTCCTGCATTGAGCACCCTGCCCTCTCCCACTGCACACCACCCGCACTCATGCACACACTTTCTCTCTCTCTCAAATAAATAAAATCTTAAAAAAAAAAACCACCAAATAGAAAAATGGAAAAAAAGCCAAATTTAAAAATTTAAATGAATTTTAAACATGAAAAGATGCTCAATCTTACACATAGTATAAGAAATATACATTAAAGCTACAAGGATATACCACTTTTTACCTACTTGGGTCAGCAAGATAAAAAAAAGTTTGATAATTCACTGGGTAGGTGAAGGTGTGAGGAAACAGGCACTCATGTTGCTGTGGGAATGTATATTAATAAAATTTTTATGGAGTACTACTGGGCACTATCTATTAATAATAAAACATACATGCCCTCTGACCCAGCAATTCATCTTCTGAGATTTATTTAACATATACCTGCACGTGTGTGAAATAAACATATTTACAGAGATCTGCGCATACAAACCCAAAAGAATGGGAAAAAATCTAAGGGACCATCGGTAAGAGAATAATTAAATAAGTTCTAGTATGTCCACAGAATCAAATAATAAGGAGCAGGGAAAGATAATGAGAGACTCCCCATGTACTGAGCCTGACATGGAATGATCTTGAAGGTATATTAACTGTAAAAAGCAACAAAATCTTGGATGCCATTACGTTTGTATTTATACCTGTATAATGACTTATATGGTTTTATGTACATTGATTGTTTTTGGATGGATTCATAAGTAACTAGTAAAAGCACGCCTCGGGGGAGGAGTAATTAAGTGTCTAAAGACAAGGATGGGGTGCAGACTCTCCACCATATCCCATCTCACACGTTCTGAATTTTGTATTGTATGTATGTACGTAAAATTAAAATTCTACAATTCCACCAACATTAAATGTTTTATTGCTTTTGTCCAAAATGGCAGATATTTCTAAACAAATAAAAATAATCAGTTATCAAGGAAAATATAAAAACAATTCTTACATACGTGTAGTATGTGTTCACATGGTCCTTAGAAGACATGCATTTGTACCACAACTCAACAATAGGATTATCATATAAATTATATCTTACAGTTTTTGAGGATTTATATTTTCTGCTTTACCAAGTATTAGCTGTCGTGGAGAAAGGGCATAGGGTCTTTCTGTTTCAACACAAGTTTTAAGAGGAGGTGATTCTGTAGTCCTTTGTACACTGATTTTGAAAACCACTGTTTTCTAGTTTTTATAGTCTTTTAAGTGAAAACAGAATTTAAGCCTAACTGACATTTCTTTCTTAGTAGCTCACGTGGGAATTGGAGAACTCTAGAACAGCATCTGAAATAACAGGAAGAGTTAGGGAACCGGACTGCAAATGTGTACATTGTAAATCAGTCTCTATTTCTAAAGTACACAATGTTTTTAGGATTACACAGGACAAACCGTACAATAACAGAGTACAAGGGGAAATATGTTTTGAAAAGAATCTTTGTCTTATTAACATTTTAAACGTGAATATCTTTTCTGACTTCTAATTTTGAGAATCACTTTCCGTTTTTTTCTAAAGGGAGACCGTGTCCCACATCTGTAGTCACTTTATTTAAAGCGTTCCGCAAAAGGGGATTATCTTCTTTAAGCAAAGCTTCTAAATACCTGTCAATCTGCTCCTGGTCTCCTGCTGGACTACCCTGGAAAAGAGAATCAACAATCAGAGCAGGCCAAGAAGCTGCAGGCTACACCCCTGTAATATGGGTGGCCTCGGGACAGTCCGCCTTAGGGTTCCTGCAGCAGCAAAACCCACCTGGCCCTGGAATAATGCCCTTCATCTTTTAAAATGTTTTCACCTTTAACCTCATTTTGTGCTCACAAGCAGTTAGGAACTTGGGTCATTTCTTTTTCTTCCTTAGTGGAGGTTAGGTTCAACTGGTTTCCATCTATTTAATTACTTGTCATATTCCTAAAGCCACTCCGCCTCCACCTTGTCCTTCTCTGTAATAGATTCTCGTCTCCCCATTTTTTAAAAATTTTATTTTTTTATTCTTTTAAAGATTTTATTTATTTGTCAGAGAGAGAGAGAGCGAGCACAAGCAGGGGGAGGGGCAGAGGCAGAGGGAGAAGCAGGCTCCCCACTGAGCAGGGAGCAGGATGCGGGGCTTGATCCCAGGACCCTGGAATCATGACCTGAGCTGAAGGCAGATGCTTCACCAACTGAGCCACCCAGGTATCACTTGTCTCCCATTTTAAAAGTTCATGAATCTGGAGTGCCTGGGGGGCTCGGTAGGTTAAATGGCCGCTTTTAGCTCAGGTCAGGATCCCAGAGTTCTGGGATCGAGCCCCATGTCGGGCTCCCTGCTCAGTGGGGAGTCTCCTCTCTGTCTCCCTTTGCTCCCCACCCCTCCTTGTGCTCTCTCTCTCACCTAAATAAAATCTTTAAAATAAAAGTTCATGAATCTTTAGCCTTCTAGGCGAAACAGATGAGTAGGCAGATTTTGACTTCTCTGCCGGTTCTCTTCCTCTGCAGCATCTTTACCCCTAACCCTTGGCTTCCCGCCCTCATCTGTCTCCTTTTCTCTCCTTTCCCCCAGTTCTCTATTTGGGCAATTTCATACTCTCCTTCCCTGGGCTGCTTAGTCCAGGAACAGGTGGGCAAATGCCCCCTCTTCACGGACTTAAATATCACTCCCTCAAGCCCAGCCATGGGCTTAACCTGCTCTCCAACCTGGGCTGACGGATAAGAGAATTTTGAAAAAGGACCTTTCAGAAACAATCCCAGTTTTATGATTGTTCCCAGTCAGTGGCAACACCATCCTAACTTCTCCATCGCTCACCCAGTTCCATTAACTGTGCTTCTGCTCGGCTCCCTCTGCCCTAGGCCTCAGACAAGGCTGGACTGTACTGAGTCCCAGCTTTGTGACTGGGGCCCTGTTCCTACAGACAAGCTCACCTGATAGTCATGTTCACCTAGATTTTCACTCACTGGTCCTGAGCAATGAATGCCCTGTGTGACCCCTTCTGACACTGACAGCTCCGTCTGCTCGGTTGACTTTAATTCTTTGGCTCTGCTCTGTGCCTGGCAAACCAGACTTCCTTCTAGGACTTCCGGCTGGTTCTGTCCCCAGCCTCTGCATGGGCCTGCTCGGTCCATCTGCTCTGGGTCCCCCTCATTTCTCATCTCTGTTCTACACCAGTGCAGTAGGCTCTGGCGATCAGAGGCGGTGGAAATCGAAACCTGAAGTCAAGGATGAGAGTAAATCTATGTGGGCAAGGAGTCCTTTGAGTACCTCTCCAATGATACTAGATATACTCTGCGCGCTAAAGCCCCTCGCCTCCTTACCAGACTTCGTGAATAAAACAAATTAGTAGAATTCCTCTGGCTACTGTGCGGGAAAACCAGGGGTTTGGCATAGAAGGAAGAGCAAATCACAATTCTTTCATGTTTTTCTCCCAGCCACACATAGATGTGCTATTATGAAAGCCAATAATTTTTTTAAATTTTATTATGTTATGTTAGTCACCATACATTACATCACTAGTTTTTTTTGTTTTTTTTTTTAAGATTTTATTTATTTATTCATGAGAGACAGAGAGAGAGAGGCAGAGGGAGAAGTAGGCTCCCCGCAGAGCAGGGAGCCCGATGCGGGACTCGATCCCAGGACCCTGGGATCATGACCTGAGCCGAAGGCAGTCGCTTAACCAACTGAGCCACCCAGGCGCCCACATCACTAGTTTTTGATGTAGTGTTCCACAATCCATTGTTTGCATATAACACCCAGTGCTCCATTCAATTCGTGCCCTCCTTAATACCGAAAACCAATAATTTTTATGAACTTTTTTGATATAGAGTAGTATTCGATTTTTATGACACAGAATTTCTTTGGTCTCTTGAGTTTTTGTTAGTAGAACAACCATCATCGCTGAAACTGTACCTTGGTGCCAGGCTCCGTATCAGATCTTTCACACATAAAAAACATTTGCCACCCTTTACAGCCACAAGAACCACAAGAGCTGTTGCCTAGGCCACCTAAGGCAGGGGGAGGGTGGTATCATTTTTGCTGTATACTTAAATTAAGCAAAAATATTTTCTGAGTTTCATTTTGTACTTAATAATATAAGAGAAACCCCAAAGAACCCAAAAGACGTACATTTTGTGAAGGAGGAATGGATTCACCTTGAAATGTTCACAGCCGGGACTGGAACCCAGGTGGCCTGGCTTCAAAGCCCATGCTCATCATGTACTATCCTGATGTGTGCGCATTTCCTGGTCTCTCCCTGACTCCCTTTCCTGGGCAAGGTAACCCTCCACTCAGTCAGGGCTCTCCGTGGGGCACTCAGCTCCTGCCCTCTCACCTTGTATGGCCCAGGAAGGCCCTGTCTCCTGTCCCAGACTCAGGGCCTGTGTCTGAGTACAAAATACCATGTGCTTCCTAGGCTCAACTGTTGACTTCTCCATTTATTTCTAGCATCTATGGAAAGACTCTTCAACCATGGCTATACATATTTTAATTTTTTATGGATTATATCCAGCCTTTCTACATGCTGTAGAAAGAAGATGGACTTTCCCTCATTAGCTCAATCCATCACAGGAGCCCTGCTCTGTATGCGTTCGTCCATCCAAACAAGATGAACAGCATACTTACACAACGTTTCCTGACCTCTAACCTCTCCTCAAAGATTAGAAGAGCCCATTTTTAATTATGTATTGAGATAAAAATTAAAATACTTTGTTGTCTGATAAAATTGGAAAAAATTTCCTACTGGAAATACACAGTTGAGGAGACAGGGTTGATCAAACTCTACCAACAGCACAAGCAAAGGTTCTGATTTTTGTGAGAGAGGAAAATAACAGACCTTTTAAAAATGTTCTCATGTGTACTTTCAAAGTTCCTTTATTTACGATTTCAATATCCTTAGAGGGAGAGTAGGGCTACGTTAAGTGACCTGCCCGGAGCCAGCAGGTGGATGACCTAGTTCAGTGCTCTCTCCACAAAGTACATTCCCACTACTCCAAATTTTGTTACTTACCAGCTGGAGTTTCTGCAATAGTGCTGCCAGTTTTACCCGAAGATTATTCAGTTTATCTTCAGTAATTTTTCTTTTTTCTTCACATTGTCCCAGAGATATTTCATTAACCGCTCCTCTTCGATTTGCATCATAGATAATGGACTGCATTTTTCTCTTTAGTTCTCTTTCATATTGGGCCATGTAAACATTCTGGATCTGGGAATGTTTTTAAGAACAGTTTTAGTATATTTTTTCAAGTACTACTTTTCGCCCTAATATCAGAAAGCGATTTCATATTCCAGTTCTGCACGTATGTACCAAGTGTCAACTCTACACCTGTGTATGAAATTTAAGACACGGAAACACCCTGAAGGAACTTGCAATCTGTTGGAAGAGGAAGAAAGACCAGGAAAAACGTGTGATACTCCAGTAACTATGAGGATGGGAGAAGCACACCAAGGTGAGCTTGGACACCCTCGCTTTGAAATGGAAAAAGAATCCAGTCGTGGTTGGATTTGTCTGCCCACCAGTGATACCAGAGTATGCAAGGCACAAAGGGGGTGGCTGGTAGTGACCCCCTCTCCACAGCACCAGAACTCACAGGCAGTGACAGAATGGCAGGCCACGTAGGGCTTTGCTGGCAGATGATGGCGTGTTATTTAGAACTCATGTCTGTAGCATCTGAAAAGCACAGAAGCTACAGTCAGAGTAATTCCTGTTCTGTGACTTTCTTCGGGTCCCTTGTCTTGATGCAAAGAATATGGTTGTTGACGTACACATGTGACCCTTGCTAATTCGAGTCTTGGTTGTTTCCCACGAGTTCATGATGTGACCAAGGCACTCACAGAGTAGAAAAGGGAATGGAGAAGCCAAACACTCCAATTTCTTTTTTTTTTTTTTTTAAAGATTTTATTTATTCATGAGAGACAGAGAGAGAGAGAGAGAGGCAGAGGGAGAAGTAGGCTCCCAAGGAGAAGGAAGCCCGATGCGGGACTCGATCCCAGGACCCTGAGATCATGACCTGAGCCGAAGGCAGACGCTTAACCATCTGAGCCACCCAGGCGCCCAAAACGCTCCAATTTCAAAATGACATGTGTCATTTTGTGTCAACATTTGGAGAGGGCCGGGGGATATTCTGAGAAAAGAGATACAGAGCAAATCCTGTTTTGATACACATTTGAATGTTTCTGTAAAAAGGAGATTGCTGTGTTCTGATATGACTGCGCTGCCAGGAAAACTGTAAGGTGGTCTCATTTGTCTTCTGGGTCTACCCTTGCCCCCTGCCCCCACCACATTCACTAATACCTACAGACCCCTCCCAGACACTGTCCATATCAGTCCCTTTAAACATCCATTTCTCCTCTTTCTATAAAATCCTTTAAACAAACAAACAAAAACCTCTAAATATACCGAATTCCATTTAACATTCACTAACCACCTCCTAAATTCAAGGCACTGAATTTTGTTATAGGTGATACAAAGATACAGAAGATCCAGTCCTTGGTCGCAAGAAGCGCCCAGTCTATAGAATGAGATAATGTAAGTATGCAAATATTGTGTCTTATGGGAGAAGCTGCAAGGTGCCCCCAAGCAAGGCACAGATATTTTTAGAGTTGAGAGGACGGTATGAATTCCCATTAAAGAGCATTAAGCTACTTAAAGTACTTAACTTTATTGGATTAATATCAGTAACTTATCCTCCAATTATTTATGCTTTTTTAAAAAAGATTTTTATATATTTATTTATTTGGGGGAGAGAGAGAACGAGCAGGGGGAGGAGCAGAGGGAGAGGGAGAAGCAGACTCCCTGCTGAGCACGGCCCTCACGGACTTGATCCCAGAACCCTGAGGTCATGATCTGAGCTGAGGGCAGACGCTTAACCGAATAAGCCACCTATGAGCCCTTATTTATGCTTTTCATGTGTTATTAATTAAGAGGAGTAATTGGACCCTGAATGTAAATGGGCTAAATGCCCCAATCAAAAGATACAGGATATCAGATAAAAAAACAAGACCCACTGATATGCTGTCTGCAAGAGACTCATTTTAGACCCAAGACACCTCCAGACTGAAAGTGAGGGGGTGGAAAACCATTTACTATGCTAATGGACACCAAAAGAAAGCTGAGGTGGCAATCTTTATATCAGACAAATTAGATTTTAAACCAAAGACT